TGGTCCCCAGTACTTTTTCTTGAAAGATTTTTGCTATAGGGCATGTATGCTTGCCAGAGAGACAGAAAGCTCTTGAAAAAGCACCCCCTGCGGGGATGGCCATACCACAACCCCTTCTCCTCCATTCTCCTCGCAGGAACTTGGGCAAGCATGCACATGCACCTGACTTGAGTTTTAAGTCCCATCGAGGACTCAAACCATGGTCAACTACGTGGGAGCCCAGCAACGTAACTATTATGCCATCTGCTGGTCCCTGTAATTAGTAGTGCTTTTATTAAATTATGTTTTAAAAAACCCATGCTGTAACACTGAATAATGCTTCACTAGAACAAGAAAAGCAAACTTGCTACTCCAGTCTCTCCTCCCCCACTTGCTCCCTAGGCCGGGGGTGGAGTGCTGTGCTCTGGATCCAGGCCTTTCCCACTCTCTTGCCTTGATTCGTGCTCAGCACCATTAGAGCGCTGAGCCCTGTGAGTAGATGCCACTCTTGGCTTCCTGCCTCCCTGGGCTCTTCCCACACAGCCCCTTCCCCATCCCCCTGCCCAGTCTGACTCCGCTGGCATCGCCCCAGCCAGCCTGACTCCCCAGGCCTTCCAAGAGCTCCTCTGTGCCCATCACTGTCCACGTCTCCCTACCTCGTCAGCTGGCACTGAAGGTTCCAGATGGGGTCCCAGCCTTTCCTTAGGGCCATAGCGCTCTGCATATAATATTTCTGGGGAGTGGTTTTTCTGTTTTGTCTTTTTTTTTTTTTGTCTCTGTTTGTTTGTTTGTTTCTTTCTTTCTTTTGCCACAGGAGGCCATGTGCTTGCCAGAGAAAGGAGACTGACTGATCATACCATGATCCTGTCTTCCCCCTTTCTCCCTCCTGTAGCGGACCTTGGGCGCACAAATGCACATGCCTGGCCTGTCCCTCCAAGCTGTGGGGTCCAGGATTTGAACCGCACAGTCAGCCTTGTGGGACCCAGGCCTTCACCACGACACCCCCAGCTGGTCCTGCCCTGCCTTTCTCAGGAGGCGTTTTCTGCACGTCCTCAGTGGCCTCGGCCGCCTAGTCAGCCATACACTTAAAACACTGAGGGGGACCAGCACACGGTGCAGGGGGTACGTGGCTGGCCCCCCGCGTGGCCAGCTGCACTTACAGTCCTGGACCCGGTGACTCAAAACTCACACTGGGCGCATGAGACTGCGAGAGGGGAATGAAGAGGGGACTGCAGCACGGTCACCCCCCCCCAGGGGTGATCTCTCACTTTCCCTCACTGTCTCTCTCTCGCTAAAAGGGTTAGTGAGAGCTCTGGAGTATGAGTGAAGAGTCTTCCTTTTCTCAAGACAGACAAACGGACCCAGCTTTCGTGGGGAAAGAAAGACCTCCCCTTCCATGTCTTTTCTATTGGTTGGCCAGACACCCCCATTCTCTTTGCTGCCGACCTAAAGCTTGGTGGGGAGGAAGGCTCAGGCGGGGGTGGGGGGTCTCACCCGACCTAAAGCTTGGTGGGGAGGAAGGCTCAGACGGGGGTTGGGGGTCTCAGACTGAGGTCGTGAACTTTCACTGTAGCAGTCTCCAGTGTGGCTCCCCACCCACCCCGCAGTGTCCCTGGGGTCTCCTGGTCCTGGCGTTCTCTAGTTTATTCCCTCCTAAGATGAAATACTGAGGAGAGGAACCTTTGGTCATCTACCAAAACGGAAGAAGGGTAGTCGCCTAGCTTCCTGGGACAGGGGGACAGGGTTATGCGGACCTGTCTCTTAACACCTCTTTTTCACATTTGTCAAAGGGTATGTAAGCTCACCAGAGAGACACACAGAAAGTGAGAAAGCAGCTTCCCGTGGGAAATGGTCACATCACAATCCCTTCTCATCCATCAGTCCTTCCTTCGGGATTTTGGGCACACACACGTATCCCCGTGTTTCTCAAGCCACCAAGTCTGGGACTTGAACCACGAGTTGGCCACATGGGAACCAGCCACCTTAACTACCACGCCATGGGTTGGCCTCTTACTTCCAAGTAACCCTCCCGGCTCTGAGCCCCACCCTCACTCCCATTTCCAGAGGGACAGCTCTAAGATCTGGGGTGCTGCTCCTGGTGCTAGTACCTGACCAGCCTTGGTCACCAACGTGTGGCAACCGTCGCCTGTCCTATTCTTTTTGGTTTCATGCTTTAAAAAAAAACCTCGACTGTCCTTTAGCAGGAACAGAGATAATCACGTGATCAAACCACCATCGGCATGGGAATTCTATGACTTCGTTTGATCATTCCCCTTTCATGAGGGAAAGGGCGGCTAAGAAGCTGTTACTTGCCAAGGTCGCCCAGCCAGTACACGAGAGAGCTACAGTTTGAACCCACTTATGGAGGCCCATCCTCAACACACTAGAGATAAGAATGTTACAGCCTAGAAAGGGTAAGTATTTCCTGAGATTATGAAATAAGTGAGAGTACTCTTGACTTCAAGGCTTATTCTCCCTCATATAGCTTATTGTCCCATATATTCTTTTAAGGATGTGTGTGTGTGTGTGTGTGTGTGTGTGCGCGAGTGCATGTATGCACCGTAGGGCACATGCGCTTGCCAGAGGGAGACGATGAGAGGGAAAGTGAGAGATCACCTCACTCCACATCACAATCCCTCCTCCTCCCGGGATTTCTGGGCACGCAGGCACATGCACTCGGCGTGATTCTCAAGCTACCAGGTGACAGTCAATCCACAGCCGGCCATGTGGGAGTACCTTAACCACTACACCACCTGCTGGCCCCGACTGTCCCACCTTTAACCCACCCTAACAGGGCGCTCTAACGGGGCACCAGAATATTCTCTCGGGGGTTACGAGCTATCTTTGTGGATGTGAGTATTTTGTTTGCACTGTTCTGTATTTTTCTTAAAAATAGGGTATTCAGGTTAATCCGGTAACTCCTTCATGGTCCAGCACTGCCCTGGGACCGCAGGCTCTGTGGGCATTTCTGTTTGCGCTCTCAGCGCCACAGGAAAGTGCTCCTTCACTTTCACAGGCTAACAAAAGTGCAATAGAACCTGCCTGAACCTATACACAGTAATCTCACGCCAAGTAGAATCAAATGAAGTCAGGGTCTAATGTGAAAAAAGGCTTTGGAGTTGTTTGGAGAGAAAAGTTTGGCCGAGCGTCAGGGCACCTGTGGGACCAAACTGAAAGGAACCCCCAGCAGCCCAGACTTCCATGCTGAATGGCGGTTCCATTTCACCAGATCGAGGGCACGTGAGCGCTTACTGGACTGCTACTGCAGGGTAATTTCGTTTCACTTCGGTAAGTTTTAGTTTACCAAGTTGAGTTACAAACCTACTAGGTTTATACTAGTGTCATGTGGATATACGCTGAAGTAACGCAATTGAAGATAATTTCGGCAGGGCTGGTCCAGGCCAGGGATTAAAGGGAGCCAGAGTCCATCTGGCCAACCTCGGCCTGAAGGCCCCAAATCCCAGCAGCATGAAGAAATGGAGAAGGGACTGTGGCGTGACCACACCCCACTGGGGGATGCTTTCTCCCTGTCCCCTCACCCTCCTCTGACTAGCAAACATGGTCTCTGGTACTAAAAAGAATAACAATAATTTAGGAAAACATGGGGATTTTGGGGGTTTGCTTTCTCTTCACCAAGGTCAGTTTGAAAGCTCAGGCTAGAGACAGCTGGCAGTGTCGTGGTTAAGGTGACTGGGTCCGACATGGCCAACTTCACGGCTTAAGTCCTGGACCCTGTAGCTTGAAAAACATGCCAGGTGCGTGAATGCCCAAAATCCTAGGAGGAGAGGAGAACGGAGAGGAACTGAGGTAGGGACACTCCCCACCGAACCCCTCAAGGGTTCTCTCTCTCTCTCTCTCTCCTGCTTGGAGTGCATGTGCCTTACTGCAAATTAAAATTAATTAATTAAAGAAGAAAAGAATCGGGGACCAGCAGCTGGCGTAATGGCTATGTTGCTGAACTCCCAAGTAGTCGACTGTGGTTCGAGTCCCAGACCCAGGGGCTTAAACTCATGCCAGGCACGTGTGCGTGCGTGCCCAAGATCCCGAGAGGAGAATGCAGGAGAAGGGATTGCGGCGTGACCATCCCCCCTGGGGGGTGATTTCTCGCTTTCTATCTCTCTGTCTCTGTCTTTCTGGTGAGCACATGCCCCATAGCAAAAACTCAAAGGAAAAAAAAAAAAGAATGGGAAACTCAGGCTAACGGAGTCCTGGCCAGAAGGATGACAAGCACCTTTTCTGACTGTTGGAGCAGAGTCAGTATACCGCGATCTGATCGCTCAAGTTCTGCATTTTTGTTTCTTCTGTCTTTGCCTTGGTCGCTCCTCCCCTGTCTTTCTGAATTAGGTTTATTCCTCTCCTGTTTTCTTCCCTCTGACTGAAGACCCTGAGAGGATGAAAAGTCGGGCTCCTTTACTACCTACATCCCAGTGCATTTAGCAGGGGACACACAGGAAATCTGTTGGGTCTACTGCAGAAAGGCGGGCCACGGTGGTTTGGTGGTTAAGGGGACTGGATCCCACATGGCTGACTGCAACACTGAGACCCTGAGGCTGGAGCAACGCGCCGGGAATGTGTGAGTGCCCCAAATTCCAAAAGAATGGAAGAGGGATTTCAGCTTGGCTATCCCCCCAGAGGGGGTGCTGCTTTCCCACCTCCTCCCTCCAGCAAGCTCATTGCGCTATAGCAAAAAACTTTAAAACAATAAACAAAGAAAAATGGAACTAGATAATCACCCTGCGGTAAAGGTGAGAAAACTGAGGCTCGGAGCAGCTGAACTTGCTCTAGGTTGCCATCTTGGGCAGCCGGACCACAAAGCATCAATCGTAAGGATACCGCCACGCTCAGAGCTCACCGCGTTGGCCCAACTCACGGGGAGACGCAGCGGGCCCTCGAGAGCGGCCTCTTCCCGCTCCGGCTCAGCTTCCCTACCTGCGAAAGGGGCGTGCCTAGGCCTGTGCAGCTGTGAGCCCGCAGACCAGCACGGAGGGGACGTGGTGGCTGGTCCTGGCCTAGGCCCTTACCATTTGATGATGTTGTGAACCAGAGGTAAAAAGGAGTAGCTCTCCTCCTCCTTCACGCCGGCCGGCGACTGGGGCCGCGGCGCCGGCGACTGCTGCGGCTGAGGCGCTGCGACCGGCGGCCGCGGGCGGGGGGGGCGGGCGCTGCTG